GGATTCCCCTGCTGGGACTATACCCTGAGAACACCAAAACGCCAATACAAAAGAACCTTTGCACCCCAATGTTCATAGCAGCACAATTTACAATAGCCAAGTGTTGGAAGCAACCTAAATGCCCATCAGTAGATGATTGGATCAAAAAATTATGGTACATATACACAATGGAATACTACGCAGCAGAAAGAAAAAAGAAGTACTAAACTTCGCAACAGCATGGATGGAACTGGAGAGCATCATGCTAAGCGAAATAAGCCAGGGGGTGAAAGACAAATACCATATGATCTCACCTATAAGCGGAACCTAACCAACAATGCAAAGAAGCAAGGCAAATATGACCAGCAACACTGAAAGGAAAAGAAATCAACAGAGACAAGAGGGAAGGGGGGGGCAGGGAAAGGGAAGGGAAGGGGAAAGTCAAGGAACATATAGCAAGGACTCATGGACAAAACCAAAGGGGAAGAGCTGAGGGAGGGAAGGTGGGAGGGGGCAAGGGAAAGAGGGGGGGGAAGGCAGAGACAAATGTATTTAAAAAGTAAATAAATTAATAAAAAAAAAAAAAAAAGGCAGCTTCCCAACTAAAAATTCATAGCAAAGAACTCCAAGGCTCCAGAGAGCCACCTTTCTCGTTGTGCATCTGGCCTTCGATCATCTCAGAGGGCGATTAATCCAGGGTGCCGCAGAGGGGGTTCTCCTGGGCGATGGGGCATATACGGACCACCCGAAATCTGCAGTCTTAGGCTCTCCAGCTGATCCAAGGAGCAGATTCTCTGGCTTAATGTCTGTATGAATAACTCCCTTAGAATGGCGGTAAGACAGGGCATCTGCCAGTTCTATGGTATAAGTGGCGTTCTCTGCTCGTCGACCCTGGCCAGTTTCTTAAGTTCTCTATAGACGGCTCCGAGAGGGGCATATTCCAGAATCATGTAAACCCTGGTGGCGTTGTGGAAATTACCCGGACAACCGGCGAATATTCGGATGCCTAAAGTGGGGCTGTATTTCTACTCTTCTCAGCTGACGCTCAACGCCTGCCTTCTCCAGGGGAGCTTTGAATAAGACTTTCAGAGCCAGGATGAACTTGCTTTGCTTTTCTCTCACCAAGTAAACATTTCTAAACTTCCCTTTACCCAGAGGGCGGCCAATTTCAAAATCTTCTAAATCCCATTGCCTCTTCTTTGATTCTTCATTTTTCTGTTTTGATGCCAGTTCCTTTCCAGAATTATTTCCAGGGGCAGCCGGCTGGGGCCACTCACTCTTCTGCGGATTACTCAGTGGCCTGGAGGCAGGGCGAGGGACATTGGCGGCCTGCAGCTGCTTCTGCTTCAGACTCTGAACTGGCTTATGGCTGGAGAGCAGCTTTTGTGCTTGTGAAGGGACTCGCTGGGAAGAATTTGAAGGGCACAAGACTCGCTGCGCCTGGCCACTGTGTGCAGACAGGGGCAGCTGCGGCGGAAACTGCAGAGGCACCGGGACATGTTTCAGACCGTCGCCAGACGGAACTGCAGCCTTAGCCACCCCTGAAATGCAGTTTTTTTTTAGATTTGTCCATGATGCCTGCTAGCTGCGTCCTCCGACCCCAGACGGCCGCGTCTTTCTGAAATCCAACTGGAACTTTTAAAGACCTGCATCCTGCATATCTCTCTAGGAAAAGGGAGTCAGGAAAAAAACAAACAAACAACACACCAAACTATAAATCCTATAGCTATCTGCTTTGTTAAAAAGCCAGCCTATTAAAAATTTTTTTTCTTATGCAGAAGAAACTCTTCCCTTGAGTAGGAAACAACACCTCGCTACTGCTGATGCTGCCACCTACCATTGAAATAAGTGATAAGATAGGCCCATTCTATAAGACAGCCCTAAGATCACGCACTCTTGTGTACACGTTCTGTATAATCCTTTCCCCTGGAGGGGGTGGGACTAAGTCTATGATGGGTTTCACTCCTGTCATTGTGTTAAGTGATGAAAGTAAAGGCCCCAAATCAGTTGATTTTGAGTTAATAAATAGCGAGATTATCCCAAATGGCCCCTGCGAAGCTTAGTTGGAGCCCTTATACAAGGTCAGAGATTTGAAGAGAAAAGATATTTTCTTCTGCTGGTTTTAAAGAAGCAAACAACTATGCTGTTGAGAGAGCAAGTGGTTAGAATCGGAGGCAGGATGACCTCTTAGAGCTGGAAGCAAGGACCAGGGAGAAAACCAGGTCCTCAGTCCTGTTGCTACAAGGAACTAGATCCTGCCGACGACCAGTGAAGAGCTCGGAACAGGACCCCAGCCGCAGATGAGATCGGAACCACGGCTGACACTGCGATTTCAACCTCTGAGACCCCGGGCAAAGAACTCAGTTACACCATGCCTGGATGGCTAAAGACAGAACTTTGAGATAATAAATGGGTAGTGTTTTAGAACACCAAGTTTATGGAAATTGACTATGCAGCAACAGAAAACTAATACAGTGACCTCAGAAAAGATGCAAAGTCCAGCCTTTGCCACTACAAAGTGAGACAGGGGGCCCAAAGAACCAGCTTTCTAGTTCCTGAACACTATATTTTTGTGATTCTACTGTAGATCAAAATCAAACCTGTTTCCATGCTAATGTCAGTCAAGAGAAATAGTATTTGTTTAAAGAAACAGTACTGGGGAAGGATTGCACTCTTTTGGAGCGCTGTATTTATTCACAATCTTCAATTTTAACTTGTCATTAGAATGATCTGGCATATTTTAGATCTGGCACATTTTATAAGTATTTTGCACCTTAAATAAAATCTTCCAGGCAGATTTACAAAGAAACATTTTTTATGGGGTTAAATAAAATAGCAAGTGAATGAGCAATAGTGAGGCAGAGAAGACTGAAAGGGAGGTCAGTTATTGTAAAAATCTATTTCTCAACATTGACTTTGACCAACATTCGTTTTGAAATAAAACCTGGAGACTGCTGTTTCACCTATTACCTTGCTCCTTGCTCCCCTTCTCCCACCACCACTAAATTTATATGTTGAGGTCCTAACCCTAAATACCTCAGAATGCGGCCTTATTTCGGAATAGAATGTGAGAGATGTAATAAATTCAGATGAGGTCATTAGGGTAAGTCCAATCCAGTACAACTGGTGTCCTTATAAAAAGGAGATTTGAACACAAACATGTATGCGGGGAGAACACCCTATCACCCTATGAAGGTGAAGGCAATAAATCAGGGTTACGCCTCTATAAGCCAACAAAAGCCAGAGGTTACAATCAAACCCATCACAAGGGAGGCCTGAAACAGATTCTTCCTCAAAGGCTTCCGAAGAAGGAAACCTTACTGACAATTTGATTTTGGACTTTCATCATCCAGAACTGTGAGACAATAAATTTCTGTTGTTTAAGCCACCCAGCCTGTGTACTTAGCTATGGCAGCCCTAGCAAACTAATACATTATTCATACATAAATATAATATTAATGGTGATAATCAAATTATGATTTTGTATTCTGTAATACAAAACAGTCCATTGAATCTATATGTTTTGTTTTCTACTTTATTAATAATGCTGTAAAAAAAACCTGCAACTTTGTCCATATGCCATTTATCTTTTTGTGAGTTATGTCCTTTGAATACATTCCAGGAAATGGGAATCCCTTACCAATCTTTTACTGTTTAGAACAGTTTAAAGAAAATGTGACTGGGTATTTTATGCCTTAGAAAAGTTTTGCTAAATTGCTTTCCAAAGAACTGTAACAATTCTCTCTACCTGCTATGTGATGAATAATTTCAGCACTTTCTCACCAACATTTGACAGTATCTTTTTAAGTACTGTCATACATGTTTTGAGAACACAAAGAATATATTTATTTGGTCCTAACTTTTCCTCTCTCTGTTGCTTTCAGGCAGTCACCAGAGGAAATTAACCAGTGTCTTTAGATTACACTTTCCTTAACACTTTTAATCAGAGAGTCTGGAAGAGAATTCAAAATGGGTATAAATTTGTTCATGCAAGAAATAGCTCACTTCATTAATTCTAACTTTCATGAATTTTATGTCGTTACCTGATGGCGATTGTTGTAATGAGAAGAATGAAGGCAGCTTATAAAGCAATACTCTTTTCAGGATGTTCTTAATGTAGCATATTTATGCAGGAATTTATCTTTCCCCATGCCCAAGGAATTAGGTTGGGCATTGGCCGGTTTTCAACACATCTTCGGTGAGAACTGAGATTGTCCTTCCCTCTACAAGTTTGTCCTTCCCTCTACAAATCTAATTCCCCTAAAAAGCTATCAGGCTAAGAAACCAAACGTCTTTAGAAAGATGATAGATAGGTAGATAGGTAGATAGGTAGGTAGGTAGGTAGGTAGGTAGACAGATAGAGAGATAGATAAATAAATGGCAAAGCTAGTGCACCACTGTTCCTTCAACCCGCATCTGATCCTCTCCAGTGTCTTGTCCACCTGCCCACTCCACCCGTACTTTTCCAAGATTTCTGCTCTCTCCATCCGGTTCTGAGTAAACAGTGTCTCCAGCCCCTCCAGGGTTTTGGAAAGGACACTGCGCTGGTGGGTCGTGGAGAGGTGCCTCCCGCAGAGTTTGGAGCAGGAGGATACAAGAGCATCCCTCCCACAAGGTGTGCAGAACAGTGGAGCTGAGGAAACTAGAATTTGGGGCTGCCTTTTCGGCTAGGGTGGGTGGGGAATGTGTCCTTGGAGAATGCTTGGAGCATTCAGACCAGAACTTTTGACACTCTGTCTGTCTATATCCTCCCTCCCTCCTCTCTTAAGTGTTGGAGCTCTCCTTCTTTTCCAGACTAGAGAGGGGCGCGTCTCCCATTCCCTTTCCCTTCACCCACCGATTTAAAAAATGAGGGGGGGCGGTCCCTGGAGTAATAGCGTGGATCTGCTCAGTGCTGAATGAATGAAGGTTCAGGGCTGGTCTGCGCGTGCGGCCGCCCTGCTCTCGACGCGGCAGCGCTGCCCTCGACACGGTCGCCCTGCCCTCGACACGGTCGCCCTGCCCTGGACACGGTCGCCCTGCCCTCGACACGGTCGCCCTGCGGCCTGCAGGACCCCGCCAACCCCTCGCCCTCCTTCCGCCCCAGCCGAGGCTGCCGCCGGCTCCGCGCCCGAGGCGGAGGCCGCGGGGAAAGTCGGGGGGAGGGTGGTTTCCTCCCGCCCCACACCCAGCCTCCGAGCCGGATATATAGTGTACCATTCGGGAGCAGAAAGACAAGAGCAGTTTCCTAGCGGTTGGAGCATTTCCCGTGGCCTCGGGGAAGGACCGGGATTTGGAGGAGCGCGCGTTGACCACCACCCCGAGCCGGAGGCACAGGTATTCCGGTGGCCGCAGCCCAGCCGCGGGCAGAACCCACGCCTGGGAAGGCAAAGCGCGGGCTGGGTGGGCGGCAGGGCGGGTCCCCGCGGGATCCGAGGCAGGATAGGCTGGGCGTAGGGCCCTGCAGGAGCGCCGAAGCGTTTTGTGAGGCTGCCCGCTGGAGTTGCCTCCGCCGCACGCAGCCTGCAGCCGGCGGTTAGGGAGCGTTGGGCGCCCACGGAGCCCGCCAAGGTGGGCGCGCAAGGGCGGGAATGGCGGCGTGTGGACCAGGCCCGCGAGGGTCAACATGGGGAGCCGTGCCGGAGCTGCCGGGGACCGAGGGAGAAAGGTGGTCGGCCGGCTCTCGCCTGGGCCTCCTTGGCCCCGGGGGCTATTCCTAAAGAGAGCGCGCTGACTCTGGGACCACAAGTGGCGTGCCGCCCTCCAGCTGCCCTCCCTGCGTTTCCCGCTTCCCACTTTCCGACCGCGGGATCTCGGCCTCGCACGCCCCTAGCCCAGGGCTGTGCGTGCGCATCTACCTTCCCTTCGCCCCCATTCGAGCCGGGCTGGTATCCAGCCTGAGGCTGAGGAGGCCTGGGGCACCAGGGCGGGGCATGTCCCAGCTGAAAGTTTCGACCTCTTCATGTGGCCTGGGCATCGTGGAGAGGGCTGAGGAGCAAGTACCAAAGACTCCAGTTGGAGCAGATGGCCTGCGGGAAAGCAAGTTAAGATTCCCCCGCGGGGCAATTCCACTCCTTTAAGAAAACTAATGACCTAGAAGCCCTAGGACCCATGAGTCCTAGAAGCCACAGGAAGGCGCCCCACCTGCCAGCCTCCTACTCTCAGGTTTAGGTCTGGGTAGATGTATGAACACATTCTTCAATGGATAAGCTACCTGGTGTGAGCAGCCAAGGTTCTAGCTGGAATCTAAGTGCTTTGGCAGCCAATTGAATCATATACACTGTGCTACCAGCAAGAACAGACAGGGCACAGCAGAGTGACCAGGAAACAAAATGTCCCGTGCTTTTTCTGCTTGTGAGAGGCTGCATCAAGAGAAGTTTGACACTGTGCAAATGGAAATTTGAGGATTCCTCTGTGGGTTCAACTAAATATCTCTCCATATCCCCATTTTTAGTCTAAAAGGGCAAAGGGACTGAATACAGCAGGAGCGAGCTTTTCGGCAAAATCTATGTTTAGGGACATTTGTGTGTAACACTTCTAAGAGATCACCGCCACCAGCCGGATGCAGGTCTTTTGAGTTCTCTTTGCCTTTTTCTGAGGGCATCTTGGGCACCTGCTTTATTGTAACAAAATCCTATCTTATTCTGGTTCCTAACATTGGGCTATAATTATCTGTAAAATAGATGTAAATTATAATGAGTTGGCAGATCTTCCAGTGATACATTTCTCCTTTATTTAAAGGAGTGGATGTGACATCTAATTACAGGGGCAGGAGAACCTTCCTTTAAGAGGGTAAAAATAAATAAAATAGCTCATTTTCAGGTATTACTTTGGGGTTTATAAAGAATGTGGTTGTCTTGAATATCTCACTCTTTGCTTTCCCATATTTTGAAGATGCGTTCTGGAGCATATTTCATTCTGGCAACATCCAGGCCGCCTTAACAATTTTCGGTTCTTGTATTCCTTTCCATGCATTCATGAGAGCTCACTCATTCACAGACATTCTCCTGAAGGGTCACGCACAGTAACCACCCACATGCTGGTCCTTGCCAGTCTATTCTGACATTGTAGGCTCTGTAAAAACATTTACTGCTTTCGAAGATTCATTGGTAACACTTCATTGTGTTAGCAGACCACTTTAAAAATCTAAGAAAAGCAATGAAATACAAGAAACAATCACTTGCATCTTAACACAGAATTCTGTCTAAAATTTCATGAGTTCACAGTTTCCTCAATAACCAAATGTTAGCCATCAACACAGATCTCAGGCAGGCCCAGCCTCATGGAAGCAGCTGTGCAGCCACACAGGGCCCTGTACTTGGAAGGGCCCTCAGGCTTGGTCTAATGTTCTGCTGTCACCTTTGGCTGCCTTAATGACTTCCAAGGAAGGAGCTCCAAATGCTCGCTGTACACTAGACTCTGCAAAGTCTGCAGCCAGTTCTGACCCCAGGTTAACAACCCTGTCCTAGAACTCACTGAACAGCAGCATTGTCTCATAACAATTGTGCATTTCAGGGGAATTCTCCAACCCAAGTTAGTTGCTGCACACTATGTCAATAAGCCCTCTATGGCCAGTTTTCTCATTGACAAAATACAGACAACAGACAATATCTTCTACTCTATTCATCTGAAAAGCTTGCTGTGAAGATACACTACTAGGTAAAACAAGTAGGGATTGTGAAAATGTCTACTTACCTCGAACAGTTCTATGCTAACAAAGACAGTGTTGTTACACACTTAACTTTTCTACTCTGTTTCTCAAAAGTAAGTTGAGGAAGGCTGGTTTAGTACAATAAAAGGTTGCAGATCCTTTCTAACCCTTACAATTAGGTGGGGCAGGGGCGGGGCGGGGGCGGGTAACTACGATATTCAGTGTTTTCAGTATTCCTTAAATGTCATTATTTGGACAAGATTAGGAGTGGCTACATGAAGTACCAGAATAACTTCCTGGATCCCAAAGACACTTTCGGAGTTAGGTTGATGTTTAGATCTAATTAATCCAAATATTAAACAAAGAGAAACTGAGTCAATGACTGAAATTTTTTGAGGATGTAATCCTCATTGTTTCATTTAGGTTTTAAAACTCCATATTTTCAAAATCTTGAACAAGTCACTCTTTTATATATTCTAGGAGACGCCTAGCAATATAAAACACACCTATTCCCTTATCAAGTTGTCCTCACCTCCTGTAACAGTGGGGGAGGAACTGAGAGTCTGGGCAAGTCCTCTGTCTTCACACTCCTTCCTGAGTTACTTCTCTCTGACCTCAAAATTTATCTTCACTCCAGCTTTCACTCCCAGCATAATGGCAACACACTCGCAAGAACTGAGGAAGGAAAGAGAGTGAAAGGAAATGGCTCAAACTCCCGTGTCAAAGACTTATAATGGGGGTACTAGAGGAGGTAGTTGGAGACTCCTTTCATGCAGCTACTCTGTTCAGGGGCATGCTGTCTGCTTTAGGATATGATTACGAAGTTCTGTACTTGATAGGCTTACAACATCATTGGCAAGATAAAATACGTAAATATAAGGTGATAATTAATAGTAGCAGATAAGTTGTTACAAGACATTATAAGATTTGGCATGAAATAAATGGTAGAGAAAATAAATGGAGTGAGTTCCCAAAAAGAGAATAAAAGAAAACTGAGATGGTTAGTGAAGCGTAAGTGGAGAGTTACATGAGATGTCCCTTAAAGTTCCACTCCTAAGAGAGATGAATAAATGAATGAATCTTCTGCATGATGTTTGCAAAGAATGAAAATCTGGACGGGACTAAATTTTGCATAAAGAAAAAGCAGGAAATAAAATCATAAGAGAATCTTTCACTGGCTAGCTTCATTCATATAGTAAATAATTATTAAGCCCACTCTGGGACCAAACACTTCCAATTTTACAGCACTTAGTGTTAAGTAAAGCAGATATGCTCCCTATTCTTGTGGAACTTACAGACATTTAAAAAACTAAAAATATAATAAATTGTTGAAAGTAGTATGGAGGAGAGGGTATTATGATGTAAAAGGTGACTCAAATTTGATGCTCTGGGAAGGTCTTTTTGACAAAAAAGATTTAAATTGATATTTAAAAGAAGCATATGGGTTAACTTAGCAAAAAAAAAAATTGGGGGGAAAATTCTGGCAGAGGAAATAGCAAATGAAGAGGCTTTAAGAAGACAAAAAGTCCAGAAGTGTCCAAAGGCACAAATGGCTGGAGTTTAGTGAGGATTTTGCTGGGCCTCTGGATATGAGTGTGGGGAGGCAGGAAGAAGCCTAGTCATGCAAAACTTCACAGATCTTGATAAAGATTTTGAATTTTATTTTAGTGGGAAGCCTTTGAGACTTGCAAGCCAGAGACTGTCTAATTTATATTTTAAGGAGATCTTTATGGCTACAATAAGAGAATGGACTAGAGGGATAAAGAATGAGAAGTAGGAAACTGATTAGGACAGAGCACCGGTGATAGTACCACCTGGGCAGATGGAGCAAAGATAAGAGAACAGAGATACATTTCAAAAGCAAAATTGACAAAAGTCGTTGAAGCAGCAGATGTGAAAGGTGGCAAGGCAGGAAGGAGTGTGAGAGTAAAGTCCTTCAATAGGTACTGCTGAATGTTTGTAATCTAAAACAATAGGCTCACATGTGGATGACTGAAAGTTGCATAAGAAGAATCAAAAAGTGAAATGAAAACTGCTGACCCTAGTTAGTACCTCTGGAAAGTAGGCCGGGCTGTGAGTAAAGATGAGAGAGAGGAAGGAGGACACTTTTGCTTTTCAACTTTTGTCATTTGTACTGTTGGGATTATTTTTAAACCATGCATGCATTTTATAATAATTTAAAGGTTACTACCACAACAAATAGCCCCTGGTTTTGGGTTTTTTTTTTTTTTTTCTGGCTTGAGCACATAGATAGAATATGGGGTTATTTCTTAAAATGAAAAAAACTAGGAGAGGAAGGACTGATCCTCACAGAAATGGTGGTTCTAAAACATAACCCAATCCTGTGCATAAAACCTTTAAATTCTTCCCCCTTGTCTACATCGGGGTTTCCCAAAATGTTTCCTGTGGGTCACTAGTTTCTTGGAATATTAATAATGGTTGCATGAAAGGGAAAAGAAAAAAAGCTTTCCTGATCATGTGAGCTTGAGAAACCCTTGATTTAACCTAGTTAAAGTTTTATTACAGTAACCCTCAGAGCCTTTAATATACTAATGCATATTAAGAATCATCAAAAAAGAAGAGATATTTTATGCCACATTTCCTGAACTTACCTGACCTTGAAATACTTTTTTGGCAGATCATCTAACAGAGTCAGCATTCAACATAACACGCTTTGGGAAATGCT